TCCCTGAGGCCCCCCTCGCTCCCATTGGCTCCCCTCTCCGTAGGCGTTCCCTCCCTGAGGCACCCCTCGCTCCCATTGGCTCCCCTCTCCGTAGGCGTTCCCTCCCTGAGGCACCCCTCGCTTCCCATTGGCTCCCCTCTCCGTAGGCGTTCCCTTTGCTGCGGCCCCCCTCGCTCCCATTGGCTCCCGTCTCCAGTAGGCGTTCCCTTTACTGAGGCACCCCGCGTTCCCATTGGCTCCCGTCTCCTCAGCGGCACCCCGCACTCCCATTGGCTCCCCTCACCGTAGGCGTTCCCTCCCTGAGGCACCCCTTGCTCCCATTGGCTCCCGCGTCCTTAGCGTCACCCCTCGCTCCCATTGGCTCCCTTCTCAGTAGGCGTTCCCTCCCTGAGGCACCCCGCTCTCCCATTGGCTCCCCTCTCCGTAGGCGTTCCCTCCCTGAGGCACCCCTCGCTCCCATTGGCTCCCCTCTCCGTAGGCGTTCCCTCCCTGAGGCACCCCTCGCTCCCATTGGCTCCCCTCTCCGTAGGCGTTCCCTTCCTGAGGCACCCCTCGCTCCCATTGGCTCCCCTCTCCGTAGGCGTTCCCTCCCTGAGGCACCCCGCTCTCCCATTGGCTCCCCTCTCCGGTAGGCGTTCCCTCCCCGCGGCCCCCCTCGCTCCCATTGGCTCCCGCCTCCTCACCGTCACCCCGCTCTCCCATTGGCTCCCTCCTCCAGCAGGCCTTCCCTTTCCTGAGGCGCCCCTCGTTCCCATTGGCTCCCTTCTTCCCGCCCTTCTCTCCCATTGGCCCAGCCGCCCCTTCGTGGGCGGTTCCGAGCCTCTGAGGCGGAGAAGGCGCCTTCTCCATCATGGCGGCGGGCGGCAGCGCTCGGGTCTCGGCCGGCCGCGATCTCAGCTGCGTGCCCGAGGTTGCGGGAGCCTTGGCGGCCGTAGCTCGCCAGGGGTAACCGCCCCATAAGCGTCGCCCCATAAGCGTCGCCCCATAAGCGCCGCCCCATAAGCGCCGCCCCATAAGCGCCGCCCCATAGCGGGTTTATGTTCTTGTTTTAAGGTTCGATTTCCTTTGCTTGCCCCTTTTCCACCCTCGGCACCGCCGCGAGTTCCGCTTGGAGCCCGCTCTCAACCGGCCCGGCCCTCAAACGAGATCCGATTTGTTGCTGTCCGGAAGGGGTGAGCTTGGGGGGGGGTAATGGGGGGCTATGGGGCGCTATGGGGGTCTATGGGGTGTCTATGGGGGGTAATGGGGGTCTATGGGGGGGTTATGGGGTGCTATGGGGGTATATGGGGGTCTATGGGGTCTCTATGGGGGGGTAATGGGGGTCTATGGGGGGGTTATGTGGTGCTGTGGGGGGATGTGGGGTCTCTATGGGGGGGTTATGGGGGGTAATGGGGGGCTATGGGGCGCTATGGGGGTCTATGGGGTCTCTATGGGGGTCTATGGGGTCTCTATGGGGGGGTAATGGGGGTCTATGGGGGGGTTATGGGGCGCTGTGGGGGGATATGGGGGTCTATGGGGTCTCTATGGGGGGGTAATGGGGGTCTATGGGGGGGTTATGGGGCGCCATGGGGGGATATGGGGCTCTATGGGGTCTCTATGGGGGGGTAATGGGGGTCTATGGGGGGGTTATGGGGTGCTGTGGGGGGATGTGGGGTCTCTATGGGGGGGGTTATGGGGGGTAATGGGGGGCTATGGGGCGCTATGGGGGTCTATGGGGTCTCTATGGGGGTCTATGGGGTCTCTATGGGGGGGTAATGGGGGTCTATGGGGGGGTTATGGGGTGCTATGGGGGGATATGGGGGTCTATGGGGTCTCTATGGGGGGTAATGGGGGTCTATGGGGGGGTTATGGGGTGCTATGGGGGGATATGGGGGTCTATGGGGTCTCTATGGGGGGGTAATGGGGGTCTATGGGGGGGTTATGGGGCGCTATGGGGGATATGGGGGTCTATGGGGGGGTAATGGGGGGTTAAATGGGTCCTATGGGGTCTCTATAGGGGTCTATGAGGGGGTTATGGGGGGAATAAAGGGGGCTAAGGGGGGGTTATGGGGGGTTAAAGGGGTCCTATAGGGGTTTATGGGGGGTAATAGGGGGTTATGGGGGGCTATGGGGGTGTTATAGGGGGCTATGGGGCGGTTATGGGGGGGGTAATGGGGGTCTATGGGGGGGTTATGGGGCGCTATGGGGGATATGGGGGTCTATGGGGGTCTATGGCGGGGTAATGGGGGGTTAAATGGGTCCTATGGGGGGGTTATGGGGGGTTATGGGGGGAATAAAGGGGGCTATGGGGGGGTTATGGGGGGTTAAAGGGGTCCTATAGGGGTCTATGGGGGGTTATGGGGGGCTATGGGGGTGTTATAGGGGGCTATGGGGCGGTTATGGGGGGGGTAATGGGGGTCTATGGGGGGTTATGGGGTGCTATGGGGGGATATGGGGGTCTGTGGGGTCTCTATGGGGGGGGTAATGGGGGGTTAAATGGGTCCTATGGGGGGCTATGTGGGGGTTATGGGGGGAATAAAGGGGGCTATGGGGGGTTAAAGGGGTCCTATAGGGGTCTATGGGGGGTTAAATGGGTCCTATGGGGGGGTTATGGGGGACTATGGGGGTCCTATAGGGGGGTTATGGGGCGCTATGGGGGGTTAAATGGGTCCTATGGGGGTCTATGGGGAGTCTATGGGGGGGTTATGGGGGGTTAAGGGGGGCTATGGGGGGGTTAAATGGGTCCTATAGGGGTCTATGGGGGGGTTATGGGGGGTTATGGGGGGAATAAAGGGGGTTATGGGGGGCTATGGGGGTGTTATAGGGGTCTATGGGGGGGTTATGGGGGGAATGAAGGGGGTTATGGGGGGTTAAAAGGGTCCTATGGGGGTTATGGGGGTCTATGGGGGGGTTATGGGGGGTTAAGGGGGTCCTATAGGGGTCTGTGGGGGGTTATAGGGGGTTATGGGGGGCTATGGGGGTGTTATAGGGGGCTATGGGGGGGTTATGGGGCACTATGGGGCGGTTATGGGGGGATATGGGGGTTTATGGGGTCTCTCTGGGGAGGTAATGGGGGTCTATGGGGGGATATGGGGGTCTATGGGGGGGTTATAGGGGGTTATGGGGCGCTATGGGGGGATATGGGGGTCTATGGGGTCTCTATGGGGGGGTAATGGGGGTCTATGGGGGGGATATGGGGGTCTATGGGGTCTCTATGGGGGTCTATGGGGGGGTAATGGGGGGTTAAATGGGTCCTATGGGGTCTCTATGGGGGTCTATGGGGGGGTTATGGGGGGAATAAAGGGGGTTATGGGGGGTTAAAGGGGTCCTATAGGGGCCTATGGGGGGTTATGGGGGGCTATGGGGGTGTTATAGGGGGCTATGGGGGGGTTATGGGGCGGTTATGGGGGGTTAAATGGGGGGGTTATGGGGGGCAATGGGGGTTAAATGGGGGCTATGGGGGGTTAAATGGGTCCTATAGGGGTCTATGGGGGGGTAATGGGGGTCTGTGGGGGGGTTATGGGGCACTATGGGGGGATATGGGGGTCTGTGGGGTCTCTATGGGGGCCTATGGGGGGTAATGGGGGTCTATGGGGCGCTTATGGGGGGTTAAATGGGTCCTATGGGGGTCTCTGGGGGGGTTATGGGGCGCTATGGGGGGATATGGGGCGCTATGAGGGTCTATGGGGTCTCTATGGGGGGTTAAATGGGGGCTGTGGGGCGGTTATGGGGGGTTATGGGGCGCTATGGGGGGTTAAATGGGTCTGTGGGGGTCTTATAGGGGTCTGTAGCACCCTATGGATCCCTATAGCACCCTATGGATCCCTATAGCACCCTATGGACCTCTTATAGCACCCTATAGCACCCCCATAGCCCCCTGTGGAGCCCCATAGCCCCCTATAGCACCCCCATAGCCCCCCCGTGGCCCCATAGCCCCTGCTATATAGCCCCATAGCCCCTGCTGTATAGCCCCATAGCCCCTCATGGCCCTGCCCCATAGCCCCCCCTATGTCCCCACCCCATAGCCCCCTATGTAGCCCCATAGCCCCCTATGTAGCCCCATAGCCCCCTATGTAGCCCCATGGTCCTGCCCCATAGCCCCCCTATGTAGCCCCATAGCCCCCCCGGCCCTGCCCCATAGCCCCCTATGTAGCCCCATAGCCCCCCCTATATAGCCCCATAGCCCCCTATGTAGCCCCATAGCCCTCTATGTAGCCCCATGGCCCTGCCGCATAGCCCCCTATGTAGCCCCATAGCCCCCCCCTATATAACCCCATAGCCCCCTATGTAGCCCCATGGCCCTGCCCCATAGCCCCCCCCATGGCCCTGCCCCATAGCCCCCCTATATAGCCCCATAGCCCCCCCTATATAGCCCTATAGCCCTCTATGTAGCCCCATGGCCCTGCCCCATAGCCCCCCTATATAGCCCCATAGCCCCCCCCCATATAACCCAATAGCCCTCTATGTACCCCCATGGCCCTGCCCCATAGCCCCCCCCATGGCCCTGCCCCATAGCCCCTATGTAGCCCCATAGCCCCCCCCTATATAACCCCATAGCCCCCTATGTAGCCCCATGGCCCTGCCCCATAGCCCCCCCCATGGCCCTGCCCCATAGCCCCCTATGTAGCCCCATAGCCCCCCCTATATAACCCCATAGCCCCCTATGTAGCCCCATGGCCCGGCCCCATAGCCCCCCTATATAGCCCCATAGCCCCCCCCCATATAACCCAATAGCCCTCTATGTAGCCCCATGGCCCTGCCCCATAGCCCCCCCCATGGCCCTGCCCCATAGCCCCCCCTATATAGCCCCATAGCCCCCCCTATATAGCACTATAGCCCTCTATGTAGCCCCATGGCCCTGCCCCATAGCCCCCCCCATATAACCCCATAGCCCCCTATGTAGCCCCATAGCCCCCCCCTATATAGCCCCATAGCCCCCTATGTAGCCCCATAGCCACCCCTATATAGCCCCATAGCCCCCTATGTAGCCCCATGGTCCTGCCCCATAGCCCCTATGTAGCCCCATAGCCCTGCCCCATAGCCCTGCCCCATAGCCCCCCATGTCCCTGCCCCACTGCAGACTGGAACACGCTGATCGTGGGCAAGCTCTCCCCATGGATCCGCCCCGATTCCCCCCTGGAGCACGTGAGGAGGAACTCGGAGGGGGTGAGCGGGGTTTGGGGTGAAAAAGGGGGATTTTGGGCAAAAAAAAAGGGATTTGGGGGGAAAAAGGGGGATTTTGGGCAAAAAAAGGGATTTTGGGGGGAAAAAGGGGGATTTTGGGCAAAAAAAGGGATTTGGGGGGAAAAAGGGGGATTTTGGGCAAAAAAAGGGATTTGGGGGGAAAAAGGGGGATTTTGGGCAAAAAAAAGGGATTTTGGGGTGAAAAAGGGGGATTTTGGGCAAAAAAAGGGATTTGGGGGGAAAAAGGGGGATTTTGGGCAAAAAAAGGGATTTGGGGGGAAAAAGGGGGATTTTGGGCAAAAAAAAGGGATTTGGGGGGAAAAAGGGGGATTTTGGGCAAAAAAAGGGATTTTGGGGGGAAAAAGGGGGATTTTGGGCAAAAAAAAGGGATTTTGGGGGGAAAAAGGGGGATTTTGGGCAAAAAAAGGGATTTGGGGGGAAAAAGGGGGATTTTGGGCAAAAAAAAGGGAATTTTTGGGGGAAAAAGGGGGATTTTGGGCAAAAAAAGGGATTTGGGGGGAAAAAGGGGGATTTTGGGCAAAAAAAAGGGATTTGGGGGAAAAAGGGGGATTTTGGGCAAAAAAAAAGGGATTTTGGGGGAAAAAGGGGGATTTTGGGCAAAAAAAGGGATTTGGGGGGAAAAAGGGGGATTTTGGGCAAAAAAAAAGGGATTTGGGGGGAAAAAGGGGGATTTTGGGCAAAAAAAGGGATTTTGGGGGGAAAAAGGGGGATTTTGGGAAAAAAAAGGGATTTGGGGGGAAAAAGGGGGATTTTGGGCAAAAAAAAGGGATTTGGGGGGAAAAAGGGGGATTTTGGGCAAAAAAAAGGGATTTGGGGGAAAAAGGGGGATTTTGGGCAAAAAAGGGATTTGGGGTGAAAAAGGGGGATTTTGGGCAAAAAAAAAGGGATTTGGGGGGAAAAAGGGGGATTTTGGGAAAAAAAAAGGGATTTGGGGGGAAAAAGGGGGATTTTGGGCAAAAAAAAAGGGATTTGGGGGGAAAAAGGGATTTTGGGCAAAAAAAGGGATTTGGGGGGAAAAAGGGGGATTTTGGGCAAAAAAAAAGGGATTTGGGGGGAAAAAGGGGGATTTTGGGCAAAAAAAAAGGGATTTGGGGGGAAAAAGGGGGATTTTGGGCAAAAAAAAGGGATTTTGGGGGAAAAGGGGGATTTGGGGCAAAAAAAAGGGATTTGGGGGGAAAAAGGGGGATTTTGGGCAAAAAAAAAGGGATTTGGGGGGAAAAGGGGGGATTTTGGGCAAAAAAAGGGATTTTGGGGGGAAAAAGGGGGATTTTGGGCAAAAAAAAAGGGATTTTGGGGGGAAAAAGGGGGATTTTGGGCAAAAAAAGGGATTTGGGGGGAAAAAGGGGGATTTTGGGCAAAAAAAGGGATTTTGGGGGGAAAAAGGGGGATTTTGGGCAAAAAAAAGGGATTTTGGGGGGAAAAAGGGGGATTTTGGGCAAAAAAAAGGGATTTGGGGGAAAAAGGGGGATTTTGGGCAAAAAAAAGGGATTTGGGGGAAAAAGGGGGATTTTGGGCAAAAAAAAGGGATTTTGGGGGAAAAAGGGGGATTTTGGGCAAAAAAAGGGATTTGGGGGGAAAAAGGGGGATTTTGGGAAAAAAAAAGGGATTTGGGGGGAAAAAAGGGGGATTTTGGGCAAAAAAAAGGGATTTGGGTGGAAAAAGGGGGATTTTGGGCAAAAAAAAAGGGATTTGGGGGGAAAAAGGGGGATTTTGGGCAAAAAAAGGGATTTGGGGGGAAAAAGGGGGATTTTGGGCAAAAAAAAGGGATTTGGGGGGAAAAAGGGGGATTTTGGGCAAAAAAAGGGATTTGGGGGGAAAAAAGGGGGATTTTGGGCAAAAAAAGGGAATTTGGGGGGAAAAAAGGGGGATTTTGGGCAAAAAAAGGGATTTGGGGGGAAAAAGGGGGATTTTGGGCAAAAAAAGGGATTTGGGGGGAAAAAGGGGGATTTTGGGCAAAAAAAAGGGATTTTGGGGGGAAAAAGGGGGATTTTGGGCAAAAAAAAGGGATTTGGGGGGAAAAAGGGGGATTTTGGGCAAAAAAAAAGGGATTTGGGGGAAAAAGGGGGATTTTGGGCAAAAAAAGGGAATTTGGGGGGAAAAAGGGGGATTTTGGGCAAAAAAAAGGGATTTGGGGGAAAAAGGGGGATTTTGGGCAAAAAAAAAAGGGAATTTGGGGGAAAAAGGGGGATTTTGGGGGGAAAAAGGGGGATTTTGGGCAAAAAAAAAGGGATTTGGGGGGAAAAAGGGGGATTTTGGGCAAAAAAAGGGATTTGGGGGGAAAAAGGGGATTTTGGGCAAAAAAAAGGAATTTGGGGGGAAAAGGGGGATTTTGGGCAAAAAAAAAGGGATTTGGGGGGAAAAAGGGGGATTTTGGGCAAAAAAAAGGGAATTTTGGGGGGAAAAAGGGGGATTTTGGGCAAAAAAAGGGATTTGGGGGGAAAAAGGGGGATTTTGGGCAAAAAAAAGGGATTTGGGGGAAAAAGGGGGATTTTGGGCAAAAAAAAAGGGATTTGGGGGAAAAAGGGGGATTTTGGGCAAAAAAAAGCCGGTTTTGGCGTGAAAAACGTCGTTTTTGGGTGCACAAAGCCGTTTTTGGGGAAAAAAACGCCATTTTTGAGGTGAAAAACGTCGTTTTTGGGGTGAAAAACGCCGTTTTTGGGTGAAAAAAGCCGTTTTTGGGGTGAAAAACGCCGTTTTTGGGTGAAAAAAGCCGTTTTTGGGGTGAAAAACACCGTTTTTGGGGTGAAAAAGCCGTTTTTGGGGTGAAAAAAGCCATTTTTGGGGTGAAAAAAGCCGGTTTTGGGTGAAAAAAGCCGTTTTTTGGGTGAAAAAAGCCGGTTTTGGGGTGAAAAACGCCGTTTTTGGGGTGAAAAAAGCCGTTTTTGGGTGAAAAAAGCCGTTTTTGGGGTGAAAAAAGCCGTTTTTTTGGTGAAAAAAGCCGTTTTGGGGTGAAAAACGCCATTTTTGGGGTGAAAAAAGCCGTTTTTGGGGTGAAAAAAGCCGTTTTTGGGGTGAAAAATGCCGTTTTTGGGGTGAAAAAAGCCGTTTTTGGGTGAAAAAAGCCGTTTTTGGGGTGAAAAAAGCCGGTTTTGGGGTGAAAAACGCCATTTTTGGGGTGAAAAAAGCCGTTTTTGGGGTGAAAAAAGCCGTTTTTGGGGTGAAAAAAGCCGTTTTGGGGTGAAAAAAGCCGTTTTTGGGGTGAAAAAAGCCGGTTTTGGGGTGAAAAAAGCCGGTTTTGGGTGAAAAAAGCCGTTTTTGGGGTGAAAAAAGCCGTTTTTGGGTGAAAAAAGCCGTTTTTGGGGTGAAAAAAGCCGTTTTTGGGGTGAAAAAAGCCGTTTTGGGGTGAAAAAAGCCGTTTTTGGGGTGAAAAAAGCCGGTTTTGGGGTGAAAAAAGCCGTTTTTGGGTGAAAAAAGCCATTTTTGGGGTGAAAAAAGCCGTTTTGGGGGTGAAAAAAGCCATTTTTGGGGTGAAAAGCGCCGTTTTTGGGGTGAAAAGCGCCATTTTTGGGTGAAAAAAGCCGTTTTGGGGGTGAAAAAAGCCGTTTTTGGGGTGAAAAAAGCCATTTTTGGGGTGAAAAAAGCCGTTTTTGGGGTGAAAAAAGCCGTTTTTGGGTGAAAAAAGCCGTTTTTGGGGTGAAAAAAGCCGTTTTTGGGGTGAAAAAAGCCGTTTTGGGGGTGAAAAACGCCGTTTTTGGGGTGAAAAAAGCCGTTTTTGGGGTGAAAAAAGCCGTTTTTGGGGTGAAAAAAGCCGTTTTTGGGGTGAAAACCGCCGTTTTTGGGTCTGTGCCCCCAGGCCCTGAGCCAGGAGCTGGGCTTCGGGGCCTACCTGGGCCTGCCCGCGGTGCTGGTGCCCCTGCGGCAGCGCCACAGCCCCAACCTGGCCCGGCTGCTCTGCAGCCACCTCCATGGGGCCCATCACAGCGCCATGGTGAGCTATGGGGCGGCTATGGGGCGCTATGGGGGGGATATGGGGTGCTATGGGGGGTATATGGGGTGCTATGGGGGGGTATGGGGTGGGTATGGGGTGGTTATGGGGTGCTATGGGGTGGTTATGGGGTGCTATGGGGGGGTTATGTGGTGCTGGGGGGGGTTATGGGGTGGTTTTGGGGAGATTATGGGGGCAGTGGGGGGTTATGGGGCAGCTATGGGGGGGATATGGGGGCAGTGGGGGGCTATGGGGTGGTTATGGGGAGGTTATGGGGGCAGTGGGGGGTTATGGGGTGCTATGGGGTGGTTATGGGGCACTATGGGGTGGTTATGGGGGGGCTATGGGGTGGTTATGGGGTGCTATGGGGCTCTATGGGGTGGTTATGGGGCGCTATGGGGTGGTTATGGGGGGGCTATGGGGTGGTTATGGGGGGTTATGGGGTGCTATGGGGCTCTATGGGGTGGTTATGGGGCGCTATGGGGTGGTTATGGGGTGTTATGGAGGGGTTATGGGGTGGTTATGGGGGCAATAGGGGGGCTATGGGGGGGTTATGGGGTGCTATGGGGCTCTATGGGGTGGTTATGGGGGCAATGGGGTGGTTATGGGGGGCTATGGGAGGCTGTGGGTGGTCAGTGGCGCTCAGTGGGGCTCAATGGGAGTCCAATGGCGGTTACTGGTCCCAAACTGGTTCTAACTGGTCTGAACTGGTCCCAAACTGGTTCTAAACTGGTTTGAACTGGTCTAAACTGGTTCTAAACTGGTCCCAACTGGTTTTAACTGGTCTGAACTGGTTCTAACTGGTCTGAACTGGTCCCAAACTGGTCTGAACTGGTCCCAAACTGATCTGAACTGGTCTGAACTGGTCCAAACTGGTCTGAACTGGTTCTAACTGGTCTGAACTGGTTCTGACTGGTTTGAACTGGTCTGAACTGGTCCCAAACTGGTTCTCACTGGTTCTAACTGGTCTGAACTGGTCCCAACTGGTTTGAACTGGTCTGAACTGGTCCCAAACTGGTCTGAACTGGTCCCAAACTGGTTTGAACTGGTTCTAACTGGTCCCAAACTGATCTGAACTGGTTCAAACTGGTCTGAACTGGTTCTAACTGGTCTGAACTGGTCCCAACTGGTTCTAAACTGGTTTGAACTGGTTCTAACTGGTCTGAACTGGTCTGAACTGGTCCCAAACTGGTTCTAAACTGGTCTGAACTGGTCCAAACTGGTCTGAACTGGTCCAGACTGGTTCTAACTGGTCTGAACTGGTCCCAAACTGGTCTGAACTGGTCCCAACTGGTCCCAAACTGATCTGAACTGGTTCAAACTGGTCTGAACTGGTTCTAACTGGTCTGAACTGGTTCTAACTGGTCTGAACTGGTTCTAACTGGTTCTAACTGGTTCTAAACTGGTTTGAACTGGTTCTAACTGGTTCTAACTGGTCTGAACTGGTTCTAACTGGTCTGAACCGGTTCTAACTGGTTCTAACTGGTCTGAACCGGTTCTAACTGGTTCTAACTGGTCTGACACGGCGCAGGTGTGGGTGCAGGTGCCCCTCCTGGCCCCCGAGGCCGAGCGCGAGGACCTGGTGGGCAACGAGGAGCCGGAGCGCGGCGGGGACGAGACCACGTGGGGCTGGTCGGTTCATACTGGTTTATACTGGTTTATACTGGTTTATACTGGTTTATACTGGTGTGGGCCCTTTGGGGCTGCTTTGGGCCAGTTTAGGGCTTTTTGGGGTGGTTTGGGGGCATTTTGGGGGGTTTTGGGCCCTTTTGGGGTGGTCGGTTCATACTGGTTTATACTGGTTTATACTGGTTTATACTGGTTTATACTGGTGTGGGCCCTTTGGGGCTGCTTTGGGACAGTTTAGGGCTTTTGGGGGTGGTTTGGGGGCATTTTGGGGGGTTTTGGGCCATTTTGGGGTGGTCGGTTCATACTGGTTTATACTGGTTTATACTGGTTTATACTGGTTTATACTGGTTTATACTGGTTTGGGCCCTTTGGGGCTGCTTTGGGACAGTTTAGGGCTTTTGGGGGCTTTTTGGGGTGGTTTGGGGGCATTTTGGGGGGGTTTGGGCCATTTTGGGGTGGTCGGTTCATACTGGTTTATACTGGTTTATACTGGTTTATACTGGTTTATACTGGTTTATACTGGTGTGGGCCCTTTGGGGCTGCTTTGGGCCAGTTTGGGGCGGTTTTGGGCCATTTTGGGGTGGTTTTGGGCCATTTTGGGGTGGTTTTGGTCCATTTTGGGTGGTTTTGGGCCATTTTGGGGTGATTTGGGCCATTTTGGGGTGGTTTTGGTCCATTTTGGGGTGGTTTGGTCCATTTTGGGGTGGTTTTGGGCCATTTTGGGGTGATTTTGGTCCATTTTGGGGTGATTTTGGTTCATTTTGGGGTGATTTGGGTCCATTTTGGGGTGATTTGGGGCCATTTTGGGGTGATTTGGGTCCATTTTGGGGTGATTTGGGGCCATTTTGGGGTGATTTGGGTCCATTTTGGGGTGATTTGGTCCATTTTGGGGTGGTTTGGTCCATTTTGGGGTAATTTTGGGCCATTTTGGGGTGGTTTTGGTCTATTTTGGGGTGATTTGGGTCCATTTTGGGGTGATTTGGGTCCATTTTGGGTGGTTTTGGTCCATTTTGGGGTGATTTGGGGCCATTTTGGGGTGATTTTGGTCCATTTTGGGGTGGTTTTGGTCCATTTTGGGGTGTTTTGGTCCATTTTGGGGTGATTTGGTCCATTTTGGGGTGGTTTTGGTCCATTTTGGGGTGATTTGGGGCCATTTTGGGGTGATTTGGTCCATTTTGGGGTGATTTTGGTCCATTTTGGGGTGATTTTGGTCCATTTTGGGGTGTTTTGGTCCATTTTGGGGTGATTTTGGTCCATTTTGGGGTGATTTTGGTCCATTTTGGGGTGGTTTTGGTCCATTTAGGGGTGGTTTGGGGCCATTTTGGGGTGATTTTGGTCCATTTTGGGTGATTTTGGTCCATTTTGGGGTGATTTTGGTCCATTTAGGGGTGGTTTGGGGCCATTTTGGGGTGATTTTGGTCCATTTTGGGGTGGTTTTAGTCCATTTTGGGGTGGTTTTGGGCCATTTTGGGGTGATTTGGTCCATTTTGGGGTGATTTTGGTCCATTTTGGTGTGATTTGGGTCCATTTTGGGGTGATTTTGGTCCATTTTGGTGTGATTTGGGTCCATTTTGGGGTGATTTGGTCCATTTTGGGGCGGTTTTGGACCATTTTGGGATGATTTGGTCCATTTTGGGGTGGTTTTGGTCCATTTTGGGGTGATTTTGGTCCATTTTGGGGTGATTTTGGTCCATTTTGGGGTGATTTGGGGCCATTTTGGGGTGATTTTGGTCCATTTTGGGGTGGTTTTGGTCCATTTTGGGGTGGTTTTGGTCCATTTTGGGGTGGTTTTGGTCCATTTTGGGGTGATTTGGGACCATTTTGGGGTGATTTTGGTCCATTTTGGGGTGGTTTTGGTCCATTTTGGGGTGATTTGGTCCATTTTGGGGTGATTTTGGTCCATTTTGGGGTGATTTGGGACCATTTTGGGGTGATTTTGGTCCATTTTGGGGTGGTTTTGGTCCATTTTGGGGTGATTTTGGTCCATTTTGGGGTGATTTTGGTCCATTTTGGTGTGATTTGGGTCCATTTTGGGGTGATTTGGTCCATTTTGGGGCGGTTTTGGACCATTTTGGGATGATTTGGTCCATTTTGGGGTGGTTTTGGTCCATTTTGGGGTGTTTTGGTCCATTTTGGGGTGATTTTGGTCCATTTTGGGGTGATTTTGGTCCATTTTGGGGTGATTTGGGGCCATTTTGGGGTGGTTTTGGTCCATTTTGGGGTGGTTTTGGTCCATTTTGGGGTGGTTTTGGTCCATTTTGGGGTGATTTGGTCCATTTTGGGGTGATTTTGGTTCATTTTGGGGTGATTTTGGTCCATTTTGGGGTGATTTGGTCCATTTTGGGGTGATTTTGGTTCATTTTGGGGTGATTTGGGGCCATTTTGGGGTCCCCATAGGTGGCACGACTTCCGCACCCTCTGTGACTACAACAAGCGGGTGGGGGTCGGTGAGTTGGGGGCGTGGCCAAGGCCGAAGGGGGCGTGGCCAAGGGGGGGGGGGAGGTTCCCACCACAAAGGGGCGGTGCCATCAGACCCCATTCATAACATAGGCCCCCCATTGATAACACAGGGCCCCCCATTCCCCATCCCCCAGCCCCATAGCGCCCCCCCATTCCCCATCCCCCAGCCCCATAGCGACCCCCCCATTCCCCATCCCCCAGCCCCATAGCGACCCCCCCATTCCCCATCCCCCAGCCCCATAGCGACCCCCTATTTCCCCATCCCCCAGCCCCATAGCAACCCCCTATTTCCCCATCCCCCAGCCCCATAGCGACCCCCCCATTCCCCATCCCCCAGCCCCATAGCGACCCCCCCATTCCCCATCCCCCAGCCCCATAGCGACCCCCATTCTCCCCATCCCCCAGCCCCATAGCGACCCCCCCATTCCCCATCCCCCAGCCCCATAGCGACCCCCCCATTCTCCCCCTACCCCAGCCCTAGAGGTGGGGCCGGACCTGCCCTCCAACGCCGCCCTAGAGCGCTGGTTGGGGGAGCCCCTGAAGGCCGCCCTGCTGCCCACCAGCCTCTTCCTCACCAACAAGAAGGGGTTCCCCGTGCTCTCCAGGCCCCACCAGCGCCTCCTCGCCCGGCTCCTTAAGGTATGGGGGGCTATAGGGGTCTATGGGGGGTCTATGGGGGTCTATGGGGGGTCTATGGGGGTCTGTGGGGGGTCTATGGGGGTCTATGGGGGTCTATGGGGGTCTATGGGGGGTCTATGGGGTGTCTATGGGGGGTCTATGGGGGTCTATGGGGGGTCTATGGGGTGTCTATGGGGGGTCTATGGGGCTCTATGGGGGGTCTATGGGGTGTCTATGGGGGGTCTATGGGGGTCTATGGGGGGTCTATGGGGTGTCTATGGGGGGTCTATGGGGCTCTATGGGGGGTCTATGGGGTGTCTATGGGGGGTCTATGGGGGTCTATGGGGGGTCTATGGGGGGTCTGTGGGGGTCTATGGGGGTCTATGGGGGGTCTATGGGGGGTCTATGGGGGTCTATGGGGGTCTGTGGGGGGTCTATGGGGTGTCTATGGGGGTCTATGGGGGGTCTATGGGGGTCTATGGGGGGTCTATGGGGGGTCTATGGGGGTCTGTGGGGGGTCTATGGGGGTCTATGGGGTGTCTATGGGGGGTCTATGGGGGGTCTATGGGGGTCTATGGGGGGTCTATGGGGGTCTATGGGGGTCTATGGGGTGTCTATGGGGTGTCTATGGGGGGTCTATGGGGGTCTATGGGGGTCTATGGGGGGTCTATGGGGGTCTGTGGGGCTCTATGGGGTGTCTATGGGGTGTCTATGGGGGGTCTATGGGGGTCTATGGGGTGTCTATGGGGGGTCTATGGGGTGTCTATGGGGGGTCTATGGGGGGTCTATGGGGGTCTATGGGGGGTCTATGGGGGGTCTATGGGGGTCTGTGGTTTCTATGGGGGGTCTATGGGGCTCTACGGGGTGTCTATGGGGGTCTGTGGGGTTTCTGTGGGGGTCTGTGAGGTGTCTATGGGGGTCTATGGGGTGTCTATAGGGCTCTGTGTGGTGTCTGTGGATCTCTATGGGGTCTCTATGGGTCTCTATGTGTCCCTATGGGTCTCTATGGATCTCTATGGGTCTCTGTGGGTCTCTATGGGTCTCTATGGGTCTCTATGAATCTCTATGGGGTTTCTATGGGTCTCTATGGGTTTCTATGGGTCTCTATGGGTCTCTATGGGGTCTCTATGTGGTCCCTATGGGTCTCTATGTGTCCCTATGGGTCTCTATGGGTCTCTATGGGGTCTCTATGGGTCTCTATGTGTCTCTATGGGTCTCTATGGGTCCCTATGGGTCTCTATGGTTCTCTATGGGTCTCTATGGGTCTCTATGGGTCCCTATGGGTCCCTATGGGTCTCTATGGTTCTCTATGTGTCTCTATGGATCTCTATGGGTCTCTATGTGTCTCTATGGGTCTCTATGGGTCCCTATGGGTCTCTATGGTTCTCTATGGGTCTCTATGGGTCTCTATGTGTCTCTATGGGTCTCTATGGGTCCCTATGGGTCTCTATGGTTCTCTATGGGGTCTCTATGTGTCTCTATGGGTTTCTATGTGTCTCTATGGGTCTCTATGGGTCCCTATGGGTCTCTATGGTTCTCTATGGGTCTCTATGGGTCCCTATGGGTCTCTATGTGTCTCTATGGGTCTCTATGTGTCCCTATGGGTCTCTATGGGTCTCTATGGGTCTCTATGGGTCTCTATGGGTCTCTATGGTTCTCTATGGGTCTCTATGGGTCTCTATGGGTCTCTATGGGTCCCTATGGGTCCCTATGGATCTCTATGGGTCCCTATGGATCTCTATGGGTCCCTACGTGATCTCTCTGTACCCCCACCGTCCCCCCCTGTGCCCGCCCCCCAAGTTGGAGGTGCAGGTGGTGCTGACGGGCGCCCCCCGCCATGGGGGGAAGCCCCTGGCTTCCTACCTGCAGTACCTGGAACATGTGGGGCAGCACCGGCCCCCCCCCTCGGCCTATGAGCTCTTCGCTAGGGGCTACGAGGATTACCTGCAGAGCCCCCTGCAGGTTGGGGGGCCGCTATGGGGCTGGAGGGGGGGGGCCGCTATGGGGCTGGGAATGGGATTCTATGGGGCTGGGAATGGGGTTCTATGGGGCTGGGAATGGGGTCTATGGGGCTGGGAATGGGTTCTATGGGGTGGGAATGGGGTTTGTGGGGGTTGGAATGGGTTCTATGGGGCTGGGAATGGGGTCTGTGGGGCTGGGAATGGGGTTTGTGGGGGTTGGAATGGGTTCTATGGGGTGGGAATGGGGTCTGTGGGGCTGGGAATGGGGTTTGTGGGGTTGGGAATGGGGTCTATGGGGCTGGGAATGGGGTTTGTGGGGCTGGGAATGGGGTCTATGGGGCTGGGAATGGGGTCTATGGGGCTGGGAATGGGGTCTATGGGGCTTGGAATGGGTTCTATGGGGCTGGGAATGGGTTCTATGGGGCTGGGAATGGGGTTTGTGGGGTTGGAATGGGTTCTATGGGGCTGGGAATGGGGTCTGTGGGGGTTGGAATGGGTTCTATGGGGCTGGGAATGGGGTTTGTGGGGGTTGGAATGGGGTCTATGGGGCTGGGAATGGGGTTTGTGGGGCTGGGAATGGGGTTCTATGGGGCTGGGAATGGGGTTTGTGGGGCTGGGAATGGGTTCTATGGGGCTGGGAATGGGGTTTGTGGGGCTGGGAATGGGGTTTGTGGGGCTGGGAATGGGGTCTATGGGGCTGGGAATGGGGTCTATGGGGCTGGGAATGGGGTTTGTGGGGCTGGGAATGGGTTCTATGGGGCTGGGAATGGGGTTTGTGGGGGTTGGAATGGGTTCTATGGGGTGGGAATGGGGTTTGTGGGGGTTGGAATGGGGTCTATGGGGCTGGGAATGGGGTTTGTGGGGCTGGGAATGGGGTTTGTGGGGCTGGGAATGGGTTCTATGGGGCTGGGAATGGGGTTTGTGGGGGTGGGAATGGGGTTTGTGGGGCTGGGAATGGGGTTTGTGGGGGTTGGAATGGGTTCTATGGGGCTGGGAATGGGGTTTGTGGGGCTGGGAATGGGGTCTATGGGGCTGGGAATGGGGTTTGTGGGGGTTGGAATGGGGTCTATGGGGCTGGGAATGGGGTTTGTGGGGGTGGGAATGGGTTCTATGGGGCTGGGAATGGGGTTTGTGGGGCTGGGAATGGGGTTTGTGGGGGTTGGAATGGGGTCTATGGGGCTGGGAATGGGGTTCTATGGGGTTGGGAATGGGTTCTATGGGGTGGGAATGGGGTCTATGGGGCTGGGAATGGGGTTTGTGGGGCTGGGAATGGGGTCTGTGGGGCTGGGAATGGGGTCTATGGGGCTGGGAATGGGGTTCTATGGGGTTGGAATGGGGTTCTATGGGGCTGGGAATGGGTTCTATGGGGCTGGGAATGGGGTTTGTGGGGTTTGGAATGGGTTCTATGGGGCTGGGAATGGGGTTCTATGGGGCTGGGAATGGGGTCTGTGGGGCTGGGAATGGGGTTTGTGGGGTTTGGAATGGGTTCTATGGGGCTGGGAATGGGGTTCTATGGGGCTGGGAATGGGGTTTGTGGGGCTGGGAATGGGGTCTGTGGGGCTGGGAATGGGGTCTGTGGGGCTGGGAATGGGGTCTATGGGGCTGGGAATGGGGTTCTATGGGGTTGGAATGGGGTTCTATGGGGCTGGGAATGGGTTCTATGGGGCTGGGAATGGGGTTTGTGGGGTTTGGAATGGGTTCTATGGGGCTGGGAATGGGGTCTGTGGGGCTGGGAATGGGGTTTGTGGGGCTGGGAATGGGTTCTATGGGGTTTGGAATGGGTTCTATGGGGCTGGGAATGGGGTTTGTGGGGGTTGGAATGGGTTCTATGGGGCTGGGAATGGGGTCTATGGGGTTGGAGGGGTCCTATGGGGGTAAATGTGGAGTGGAAGGGGGCGTGGCCTGCCCATATATGGGGTTAAATGGGTCCTATGGGGCAGGGAAGGGGGCGTGGCCTGCCCATATATGGGGTTAAATGGGTCCTATGGGGCTGGGAAGGGGGCGTGGCCTGCCCATATATGGGGTTAAATGGGTTCTATGGGGCGGGGGAAAGTTGGGCGTGGCCTGCCTATATATGGAAATGGGTCCTATGGGGAGTGGAAGGGGGCGTGGCCTGCCCATATATGGGATTTAATAGGTCCTATGAGGATATGAAAGGGGGCGTGGCCTGCCCATATATGGGGCTCACAGGCCACGCCCCCTTCTCCCCATAGCCCCTTATGGACAACCTGGAGTCGCAGACCTATGAGGTGTTCGAGAAGGATCCAATCAAATACTCCCAATACCAGCAGGTGGGCGGGGCCGAGGCCTCCCATTGGCTGCTGTCCCGCGCCTCATTAGCATAACCACGCCCCCCTTCCTTATAAGGCGATATATAGGTGCCTGCTCGACCGGGTGCCTGAGGAGGAGAAGGACACCAATGTGCAGTGAGTGCTATGGGGCGCCCCACATCGCTATGGGGCGCCCCACATCCCTATGGGGCACCCTTGCACCCCACTTATGGGTCCCTCTGCACCTCACGGGTCCTTTGGGGAACCCCATACGCCATCTGTGGGGTGCCCCACATCCCTATGGGGCACCCCTGCACCCCACTTATGGGTCCCTATGGGTCCCCCTACCCCACTTATGGGTCCGTATACCCCACTTATGGGTCCCTCTACCCCACTTATGGGTCCGTATACCTCACTTATGGGTCCCTATGGGTCCCCCAGCCCCACTTATGGGTCCCTATGAGTCCCCTCTACACCATTTATGGGTCCCTATGGGTCCCCCTACCCCACCTATGGGTCTCTCTACCCCACTTATGGGTCCCTATGGGTCCTCCTCTACCCCACTTATGGGTCCCTCTCCCCCACTTATGGGTCCCTATGGGTTCCTCTCCCCCACTTATGGGTCCCTATGGGTCCCTCTACCCCACTTATGGGTCCATATACCCCACTTATGGGTCCCTATGGGTTCCTCTACCCCACTTATGGGTCCCTATGGGTCCCCCCTACCCCACTTATGGGTCCCCCAACCCCACTTACGGGTCCCTCTACCCCACTTACGGGTCCCTCTACCCCACTTATGGGTCCCTCTACCCCACTTATGGGTCCCTATGGGTCCCCGCTATGGGTCGCTATGGGGCACCCCACACCTCGCTCTGCCCCATAGGGTGGTGATGGTGCTGGGGGCGGGGCGGGGGCCGCTGGTGAGCGCCGCCCTCCGAGCTTCCCGCCAGGCAGCGCGGCCAATCAGGGTCTACGCCGTGGAGAAGAACCCCAACGCCGTGGTCACGTGAGCGCTGCCCCATAGCCCTGCCCCATAGCGCTGCCCCATAGCGCTGCCCCATAGCCCTACACCATAGCCCTGTCCCATAGCCCTGCCCCATAGCCCTGCCCCATAGCGCTGCCCCATAGCGCTGCCCCATAGCGCTGCCCCATAGCCCTGCCCCATAGCGCTGCCCCATAGCCCTGCCCCATAGCGCTGCCCCGTAGCCCTGCCCCATAGCACTGCCTCATAGCGCTGCCCCATAGCCCTGCCCCGTAGTGCTGCCCCGTAGCCCTGCCCCATAGCCCTGCCCCATAGCGCTGCCCCATAGCGCTGCCCCATAGCCCTGCCCCATAGCACTACCCCATAGCCCTGCCCTGTAGTGCTGCCCCGTAGCGCTGCCCCATAGCCCTACACCATAGCCCTGTCCCATAGCCCTACACCATAGCCCTGTCCCATAGCGCTGCCCCATAGCCCTGCCCCATAGCGCTGCCCCATAGCGCTGCCCCTTAGTGCTGCCCCATAGCCCTACACCATAGCCCTGCCCCATAGCCCTGCCCCATAGCCCTGCCCCATAGCACTGCCCCATAGCCCTACACCATAGCCCTGTCCCATAGCGCTGCCCCATAGCCCTGCCCCATAGCCCTGCCCCGTAGCGCTGCCCCATAGCGCTGCCCCATAGCCCTGCCCCATAGCGCTGCCCCATAGCCCTACACCATAGCCCTGTCCCATAGCGCTGCCCCATAGCCCTGCCCCGTAGCGCTGCCCCATAGCGCTGCCCCATAGCCCTGCCCCATAGCGCTGCCCCATAGCGCTGCCCCATAGCCCTGCCCCATAGTGCTGCCCCATAGTGCTGCCCCTTAGTGCTGCCCCATAGCCCTGCCCCATAGCCCTGCCCCATAGCCCTGCCCCATAGTGCTGCCCCTTAGTGCTGCCCCATAGCCCTGCCCCATAGTGCTGCCCCTTAGTGCTGCCCCATAGCCCTGCCCCATAGCCCTGCCCCATAGAGCCCCATTGAGCCCCCATAGAGTGGGGGGGGGATGTCCATAGAGACATCATAGGGCCCCACAGAGCCCTATAGAGACCCCATACGGCCCCATAGAAACCCCATAGAGCCCTATAGAGACATCATAGGGCCCCATAGATCCCCATAGAGACATCATAGAGACCCCATAGAGCCCCATAGAAACCCCATACAGCCCTATAGAAACATCATAGAAACCCCATAGAGACCCCATAGAGACCCCATAGACCCCCCCCTTGGTATCCTGTAGAGCCCCATAGAAACCCCATAGATACCCCATAGACACCCCATAGACCCCCATAGACACCCCATAGACACCCCATAGACCCCCATAGACCCCCATAGACACCGCATAGCCACCCCATAGACCCCCCATAGACACCCCATAGACCCCCATAGCGCCCCATAGCCACCCCATAGCGCCCCATAGACCCCCATAGACCCCCATAGCCACCCCATAGAGCCCCATAGACCCCCATAGCCACCCCATAGCCACCCCATAGCGCCCCATAGACACCCCATAGCGCCCCATAGACCCCCCATAGCCACCCCATAGAGCCCCATAGACACCCCATAGCCACCCCATAGCCGCCCCATAGCCGCCCCCTATCCCCCGCAGGCTGCAGAGCTGGCAGTACGAGGAGTGGGGGGCGCAGGTGACGGTTGTGGGGCAGGACATGAGGGGCTGGAGCCCCCCCGAGGGCGCCGACCTCGTGGTCTCCGAGCTCTTGGGTTCCTTTGGGGACAACGAATTGAGCCCCGAGTGCCTGGATGGGGCCCAGCACTGCCTCAAGGGTGGGGATTATGGGATGGAAAGGGGGATCTATGGGGTTCTATGGGGTATAATGGGGTTCTATGGGGTTTAATGGGGTTCTATGGGGTTCTATGGGGTTTAATGGGGTTATAATGGGGTTATAATGGGGTTCTATGGGGTTAGAATGGGGTTATAATGGGGTTTAATGGGGTTATAATGGGGTTCTATGGGGTTCAATGGGGTTATAATGGTGTTCTATGGGGTTAGAATGGGGTTTAATGGGGTTATAATGGGGTTATAATGGGTTTCAATGGGGTTATAATGGGGTTCTATGGGGTTATAATGGGGTTTAATGGGGTTCTATGGGGTTATAATGGGGTTCTATGGGGTTAGAATGGGGTTATAATGGGGTTATAATGGGGTTCAATGGGGTTCTATGGGGTTTAATGGGGTTCTATGGGGTTATAATGGGGTTCTATGGGGTTTAATGGGGTTCTATGGGGTATAATGGGGTTCTATGGGGTATAATGGGGTTTAATGGGGTTCAATGGGGTTAGAATGGGGTTTAATGGGGTTCAATGGGGTTAGAATGGGGTTATAATGGGGTTAATGGGGTTCTATGGGGTTAGAATGGGGTTTAATGGGGTTAGAATGGGGTTTAATGGGGTTAGAATGGGGTTTAATGGGGTTCAATGGGGTTCAATGGGGTTTAATGGGGTTCTATGGGGTTAGAATGGGGTTAGAATGGGGTTTAATGGGGTTCTATGGGGTTAGAATGGGGTTAGAATGGGGTTCTATGGGGTTAGAATGGGGTTCTATGGGGTTTAATGGGGTTCTATGGGGTTATAATGGGGTTCTATGGGGTTCTATGGGGTTATAATGGGGATTAATGGGGTTCTATGGGGTTAGAATGGGGTTCTGTGGGGTTATAATGTGGTTCTATGGGGTTAGAATGGGGTTATAATGGGGTTCTATGGGGTTAGAATGGGGTTCTATGGGGTTTAATGGGGTTCTATGGGGTTCTATGGGGTTAGAATGGGGTTCTGTGGGGTTATAATGTGGTTCTATGGGGTTATAATGGGGTTCAATGGGGTTAGAATGGGGTTAGAATGGGGTTCTATGGGGTTAGAATGGGGTTCTATGGGGTTTAATGGGGTTCTATGGGGTTAGAATGGGGTTCTATGGGGTTAGAATGGGGTTCTGTGGGGTTATTATGGGGTTAGAATGGGGTTCTATGGGGTTTAATGGGGTTATAATGGGGTTTAATGGGGTTAGAATGGGGTTAGAATGGGGATTAATGGGGTTCTATGGGGTTATAATGGGGTTTAATGGGGTTATAATGGGGTTCTATGGGGTTTAATGGGGTTCTATGGGGTTAGAATGGGGTTTAATGGAGTTATAATGGGGTTCTATGGGGTTAGAATGGGGTTCTATGGGGTTAGAATGGGGTTCTATGGGGTTAGAATGGGGTTATAATGGGGTTCTATGGGGTTAGAATGGGGTTCAATGGGGTTCTATGGGGTTAGAATGGGGTTCTATGGGGTTTAATGGGGTTATAATGGGGTTCTATGGGGTTATAATGGGGTTCAGTGGGGTTATAATGGGGGATAATGGGGTTCAGTGGGGTTATAATGGGGTTCAATGGGGTTTAATGGGGTTCTATGGGGTTAGAATGGGGTTCTATGGGGTTAGAATGGGGTTCTATGGGGTTCTATGGGGTTAGAATGGGGTTCTATGGGGTTAGAATGGGGTTCTATGGGGTTAGAATGCGGTTCTGTGGGGTTATAATGGGGTTCTATGGGGTTATAATGGGGTTTAATGGGGTTCTATGGGGTTTAATGGGGTTCTATGGGGTTAGAATGGGGTTCAATGGGGTTTAATGGGGGATAATGGGGTTCAATGGGTTTCAATGGGGTTATAATGGGGTTCTATGTGATTTCAATGGGGCTCAATGGGGCTCAATGGGGTTCTAACGGATGCCTATGGGTCGCCATGGGTCTGTGCCCCACAGCGGGGGGGGTGAGCATCCCCTGCTCCTACACCTCCTTCCTGGCGCCCATCTCCTCCTCCAAGCTCTACACCGAGGTGCGGGGCTGCCGCGAGCGCGACCGCGACCCCGAGGTACCGTCTATGGGGCAGCTATGGGGCGGCTATGGGGCAGCTATGGGGCTGGGTATGGGGCAGCAATGGGGCAGCTATGGGGCGGCTGTGGGGCTGGGTATGGGGCAGCAATGGGGGTCAATGGGGCAGCTATGGGGCTGGGTATGGGGTGGCTATGGGGCTGGCTATGGGACAGCTATGGGGCTGAGTATGGGGCAGCTATGGGGGTCAAGGGGTGGCTATGGGGCAGCTATGGGGCGGCTATGGGGCTGGGTATGGGGCAGCTATGGGGCTGGGTATGGGGCAGCTATGGGGCTGGGTATGGGGCTGCTATGGGGCTGGCTATGGGGCAGCTATGGGGCGGCTATGGGGCTGGGTATGGGGCAGCTATGGGGCTGGGTATGGGGCTGCTATGGGGCTGGCTATGGGGCAGCTATGGGGCTGGCTATGGGGCGGCTATGGGGCCAGGCTATGGGGCTGCTATGGGGCAGCTATGGGGCGGCTGTGGGGCTGGGTATGGGGCAGCTATGGGGCAGCTATGGGGCTGGGTATGGGGCAGCAATGGGGCTGCTATGGGGCAGCTATGGGGCAGCTGTGGGGTTGGGTATGGGGCAGCTATGGGGCAGCTATGGGGCGGCTGTGGGGCTGGCTATGGGACAGCTATGGGGCTGAGTATGGGGCAGCTATGGGGGTCAAGGGGCGGCTATGGGGCAGCTATGGGACGGCTATGGGGCTGGGTATGGGGCAGCTATGGGGCTGGGTATGGGGTGGCTATGGGGCAGCTATGGGGCTGGGTATGGGGCAGCTATGGGGCAGCTATGGGGCTGGGTATGGGGCGGCTATGGGGCGGCTATGGGGCTGGGTATGGGGCTGCTATGGGGCAGCTATGGGGCTGGGTATGGGGCAGCTATGGGGCTGGGTATGGGGCTGGCTATGGGACAGCTATGGGGCTGAGTATGGGGCAGCTATGGGGGTCAAGGGGCGGCTATGGGGCAGCTATGGGGCGGCTATGGGGCTGGGTATGGGGCAGCTATGGGGCTGGGTATGGGGCGGCTATGGGGCAGCTATGGGGCTGGGTATGGGGCAGCTATGGGGCTGGGTATGGGGCAGCTATGGGGCTGGGTATGGGGCGGCTATGGGGCTGGGTATGGGGCTGGCTATGGGACAGCTATGGGGCTGAGTATGGGGCAGCTATGGGGGTCAAGGGGCGGCTATGGGGCAGCTATGGGGCGGCTGTGGGGCTGAGTATGGGGCAGCTATGGGGCTGCTATGGGGCAGCTATGGGGCTGGCTATGGGGCAGCTATGGGGCAGCTATGGGGCAGCTATGGGGCGGCTGTGGGGCTGGGTATGGGGCGGCTATGGGGCTGCTATGGGGCTGGCTATGGGGCAGCTATGGGGCTGGGTATGGGGCAGCAATGGGGCTGCTATGGGGCAGCTATGGGGCGGCTGTGGGGCTGGGTATGGGGCAGCTATGGGGCAGCTATGGGGCGGCTGTGGGGCTGGGTATGGGGCAGCTATGGGGCTGCTATGGGGCAGCTATGGGGCTGGCTATGGGGCAGCTATGGGGCTGGGTATGGGGCGGCTATGGGGCAGCTATGGGGCTGGGTATGGGGCGGCTATGGGGCGGCTATGGGGCTGGGTATGGGGCTGCTATGGGGCAGCTATGGGGCTGGGTATGGGGCAGCTATGGGGGTCAAGGGGCGGCTATGGGGCAGCTATGGGGCGGCTATGGGGCTGGGTATGGGGCAGCTATGGGGCTGGGTATGGGGCGGCTATGGGGCAGCTATGGGGCTGGGTATGGGGCAGCTATGGGGCTGGGTATGGGGTGGCTATGGGGCTGCTATGGGGCTGGGTATGGGGCAGCTATGGGGGTCAATGGGGCGGCTATGGGGCAGCTATGGGGCGGCTATGGGGCTGCTATGGGGCTGGGTATGGGGCAGCTATGGGGCGGCTATGGGGCTGGGTATGGGGCAGCCGTGGGGTCAATGGGGCGGCTATGGGGCAGCTATGGGGCTGGGTATGTGTTGCTATGGGGGTCAATGGGGTGGCTATGGGGCTGGGGGGTGTCTATAGGGCAGCTATGGAGGGCAGTGGGGCAGGTTATGGGGCATCGGGGGGGGCAGTGGGGCTGGGTATGGGGCAGCTATGGGGGTCAGTGGGGTGGCTATGGGGCTGGGGGGGGTCTATAGGGCAGCTATGGAGGGCAATGGGGCAGGTTATGGGGCTTGGGGGGGGGCTATGTGTTGCTCTATGGGTCCATCTATGGGTCCATTTATGGGTCCATCTATGGGTCCCTCTATGGGCCCATCTATGGGTCACTCCGTGGGTCACTCTGTGGGTCCATCTATGGTTCCATCTATGGGTCACTCTATGGGTCTCTGTATGGGTCCATCTATGGGTCACTCTATTGGTCCCCCTATGGGTCCATTTATGGGTCCATCTATGGGTCCCCCATGGGTCCCTCTATGGGTCCCCCATGGGTCCATCTATGGGTCTATCTATGGGTCACTCTATGGGCCTGTCTGTGGCTCCATCCATGGGCCCATCTATGGGCCCCCCTATGGCTCCATCTATGGGTCCATCTATAGGCCCATCTATGGGTCACCCTATGGCTCCATCTATGGGTCCCCCTATGGCTCCATCTATGGGCCCCCCTATGGCTCCATCTATGGGTCCCCCTATGGCTCCATCTATGGGTCCATCTATGGCTCCATCTATGGGTCGCCCTATGGCTCCATCTATGGGTCCATCTATGGCTCCATCTATGGGTCCATCTATAGGCCCATCTATGGGTCGCCCTATGGCTCCATCTATGGCTCCATCTATGGGTCCATCTATGGGTCGCCCTATGGCTCCATCTATGGGTCCCCCTATGGCTCCATCTATGGGTCCCCCTATGGCTCCATCTATGGGTCCCCCTATGGCTCCATCTATGGGCCCCCCTATGGCTCCATCTATGGGTCCCCTATGGCTCCATCTATGGGTCCCCCTATGGCTCCATCTATGGGTCCATCTATGGCTCCATCTATGGGTCCCCCTATGGCTCCATCTATGGGTCCATCTATGGCTCCATCTATGGGTCCCCCTATGGCTCCATCTATGGGTCCCCCTATGGCTCCATCTATGGGTCGCCCTATGGCTCCATCTATGGCTCCATCTATGGGTCCATCTATGGGTCGCCCTATGGCTCCATCTATGGGTCCCCCTATGGCTCCATCTATGGGTCCCCCTATTGCTCCATCTATGGGTCCATCTATGGCTCCATCTATGGGTCGCCCTATGGCTCCATCTATGGGTACCCCTATGGCTCCATCTATAGGTCCCCCTATGGCTCCATCTATGGGTCGCCCTATGGCTCCATCTATGGGACCCCCTATGGCTCCATCTATGGGTCGCCCTATGGCTCCATCTATGGGTCCATCTATAGGCCCATCTATGGGTCGCCCTATGGCTCCATCTATGGGTCGCCCTATGGCTCCATCTATGGGTCCATCTATAGGCCCATCTATGGGTCCATCTATGGCTCCATCTATGGGTCCCTGCCCCATAGGCCCAGTTCGAGATGCCCTACGTCGTCCGCCTCCACAACTACCACCAATTGGCCGCCCCCCAACCTTGCTTCACCTTCCAGCACCCCAACCCCGGTAAGCCATTGGTCGGCGCCCCCGCTGACGTCAGCGGGGGCGCCGACCAATGGCGTGGCTCCTTGCGGCAGAGGCAGCCAATGACAACAGCCGGTACCGCCTCCTGACCTTCCGGGTCCAGGTCAACTCCGTGCTCCATGGCTTCGCTGGCTACTTCGAGACCACCCTCTATGGGGACATCACCCTCAGTAGGGCGCTATGGGGTGGCTATGGGGTGGCTATGGGGTGGTTATGGGGTGCTATGGGGTGGCTATGGGGGGTCTATGGGGGGTCTATGGGGTGCTATGGGGGTCTATGGGGTGGCTATGGGGGTCTATGGGGGGTCTATGGGGTGCTATGGGGTGGCTATGGGGGTCTATGGGGTGCTGTGGGGGTCTATGGGGTGCTATGGGGTGCTATGGGGGTCTATGGGGTGCTATGGGGGGTCTATGGGGGGTCTATGGGGTGGCTATGGGGCTCTGTGGGGTGCTATGGGGGTCTATGAGGTGCTATGGGGATCTATGGGGGTCTATGGGGTGTCTATGGGGGTCTATGGGGTGGCTATGGGGGGTCTATGGGGGGTCTATGGGGTGCCTATGGGGGTCTATGGGGCGGCTATGGGGGTCTATGTGGGGTCTATGGGGATCTATGGGGTGCTATGGGGGTCTATGGGGGTCTATGGGGGGTCTATGAGGATCTATGGGGTGCTATGGGGTGTCTATGGGGCTCTATGGGGCTCTACAGGGTGTCTGGGGGGTGTCTACGGGGTGCTATGGGGGGTCTATGGGGTGGCTATGGGGTGTGTATGGGGCTCTGTGGGTTATCTATGGGGTGTCTGGGGGGCTCTGTGGGGTGTCTATGGGGCTCTATGGAGCACTATGGGGTGTCTGTGGGGTGCTTTGGGTTGTCTATGGGGTTCTATGTGGCTCTATGGGGTATCTATGGGGCGTCTGTGGGGCTCTAGGGGGTGTCTATGTGGTGCTGTGGGGCTCTGGGGGGTGCTCTGGGGTGTCTGTGGGCCGCTATGGGGTGTCTGTGGGGTGTTAAGCGGTGTCTATGGGAGCTCTGTGGGGTGCTATGGGGCGTCTATGGGGTGCTGTGTGTTGTCTGTGTGGCTCTATGGGGTGTCTATGGGGTGTCTATGGGGTGCTGTGGGGTGTTACTGGGCTCTGGGGGGTGTCTATGGGGTGCTATGTGATGTCTATGGGGCTCTGTGGGGCGCTATGGGGTGTCTATGGGGCTCTATGGGGTGCGAGTATCCCGGGGGGGGGGGGGGGCGTGTCCTCCCGTGGTCACATGACCCCGCAGGTATCCGCCCGGAGACGCACTCCCCGGGGATGTTCTCCTGGTTCCCCATCTTCTTCCCCATCAAGGTACCGCCCCCAACATGGCCGCCCCCTGTGGGCGCCGCCATCTTGGCTCTGCCCCCTCACCATGGGCGCCGCCATCTTGGCTTCCCTATGGGTACCGCCATTTTGGCTGCCTGCACCCTATGGGCGCCGCCATCTTGGCTTCCCCCCCACTATGGGCGCTGCCATCTTGGCTTCCTGCCCCCTATGGGTGCCGCCATCTTGGCTCCGCCCCCTCAACATGGGCGCCGCCATCTTGGCTCTGCCCCCCCCTCTCCCCACCATGGGCGCCGCCATCTTGGCTTCCCTATGGGGCCGCCATTTTGGCTTCCTGCCCCCTATGGGCGCCGCCATCTTTGCTTCCCCCCATGGCCACCACCCCCTATGGGGCCGCCATTTTGGCTCCCTGCACCCTATGGGCGCTGCCATCTTGGCTTCCCTATGGGGCCGCCATTTTGGCTGCCTGCACCCTATGGGCGCCGCCATCTTGGTTCTGATCCCCCCTCACCATGGGCGCCGCCATCTTGGCTTCCCTATGGGGCCGCCATTTTGGCTCCCTGCCCCCTATGGGCGCTGCCATCTTGGCTTCCTGCTCCCTATGGGCGCCGCCATCTTGGCTCCACCCCCTCAACATGGGCGCCGCCATCTTGGCTCTGCCCCCCCTCACCCCACCATGGGCGCCGCCATCTTGGCTTCCCTATGGGGCTGCCATTTTGGCTTCCTGCCCCCTATGGGTGCCGCCATCTTGGCTTCCCCCCATGGCCACCACCCCCTATGGGCACCGCCATCTTGGCTTCCCTATGGGGCCGCCATTTTGGCTGCCTGCACCCTATGGGTGCCGCCATCTTGGCTTCCCCCCCACTATGGGTGCCACCATCTTGGCTTCCCTATGGGGCTGCCATCTTGGCTTCCTGCACCCTATGGGTGCCACCATCTTGGCTTCCCCTTTGGGTGCCGCCATCTTGGCTCCGCCCCCTCAACATGGGCGCCGCCATCTTGGCTCCGCCCCCTCACCATGGGCGCCGCCATCTTGGTTTCCCTATGGGGCTGCCATTTTGGCTTCCTGCCCCCTATGGGCGCCGCCATCTTGGCTGCCTGCCCCCTATGGGCGCCGCCATCTTGGCTCCACCCCCTCACCATGGGTGCCACCATCTTGGCTTCCCTATGGGGCTGCCATCTTGGCTTCCTGCCCCATATGGGCTCTGCCATCTTGGCTCCGCCATCTTTGCTTCAACCCCCCTCCCCATGGCCGCCGCCATCTTGCCTTCCCCCCATAGCTGCCACCCCCTATGGCCACCTCCATCTTGCCTTCCCCTATGGCCACCGCCATCTTGCCTCCCACCCCATGGCCGCCGCCATCTTGCCTCCCACCCCATGGCCGCCGCCATTTTGGCTTCCCTATGTGCAGCGCCATCTTGGCTTCCTGCCCCATATGGCCTCCGCCATCTTGGCTTCACCCCCCCCTCTCCCCATGGCCACCTCCATCTTGACTCCCCCATGACCACTGCCCCCTATAGCCGCCGCCATCTTGGCTTCCTGCCCCCTATGGCCACCGCCATCTTGGCTCCCTTATGGCCGCCGCCATCTTGCTTTCCACCACGTGGCCGCCGCCATCTTGGCTCCCTTATGGCCGCCGCCATCTTGCCTTCCCCTATGGCCACCACCATTTGCCTTCCACCCCATGGCCACTCTCCCCTATGGCCGCCGCCATCTTGCTTTCCACCACACGGCCGCCGCCATCTTGCCTTCCCCATGGCCACTCTCCCCTATGGCCCCCGCCATTTTGCCTCCCTTATGGCCGCCGCCATCTTGCTTCCCACCACACGGCCGCCGCCATCTTGCTTCCCTCACGGCCGCCGCCATCTTGCTTCCCACCACGTGGCCGCCGCCATCTTGCCTCCCCCCCTCTTCCTCTTCACATCCCCGCCGCCATTTTCCCCTCTCATTTTTCTCCCTTTCTTATCTCCCCCTTTCCCCTCCCCCCTCCCCCCCCCCCAGCAACCCCTCCCCCTACAGGCCGGCCAGGACCTCACCGTGGCCTTTTGGCGTTGCTCCACCCCCAAGAAGGTGTGGTACGAATGGGCCGTCACCGGCCCCGCCCCTTCCGCCCTCCACAACCCCGCGGGCCGCTCTTACACCATCGGCCTCTGACCAATAAACGCCCTGGGGCTTTTGTTTCGTCACCTCGCTTATTATGGGATGCCAAACATCACCGCGCCTTGTACGGAACGTGGGCGCCGCCATCTTGGATCCCCCCCCCCCACACACACCACCACCACCACAAGGCCCGCGCCTTGTACGGACCGTGGCCGCCGCCATCTTGGATCCCCTCACCGCGCAACCGCGTTTAAACGCTCCCTTTCTTCTTCCCCCCGATATCGTTTCTATGTCGCGATAGCTCCCAGCCCCACCCCCGTCCGTAGCGTGTCTATGTCGCGATAGCCGCCGTTTAAACGCGTTTGGGGGCCGTTTAAACACACGCAGCCCCCCCCCCCCGCTTGGAAGCACGGCGCATGCGCGTCGCCATGGTAACAGGGAGGAAGGGAAGAGACCGGAGAGGGGGGGGGCGTGGTTTGCGCGCCGGCCAATAGGAAGCGAGAGGGAGGA